TTTTTTTTTTGTCCAATGAAGCATTGCTCAGATGATCCATGGATTTAAACAACTCATCAGGGGCTTGTACACATAAAGCCCTATATTCACCTATTAGAAAGATGTATGTGCCTCATGCTTCTAGTGGAACATTGCTTACCAAGTAGCACTCTAAGCATGGGAAACATGGCATCAGAACTAAGTGAAACTGTCAGTAGTCACATTGTTATTCTGAGCAAAGGCTGGCTTTCTCAACGCCAAAGTATGGCTACACTGAGGATTTCTAAGGGAGCAGTGCATGGCTCACACCATCAAAAGATCAATACATCAAGCTTTGTTTACTGAAGATCAGAAAAGCTACTTCATCTTAAATACACAATAAACATGATAAATAAAACAGGTCGGCAATCAGCAAAAGTCCTGCTAAAAAAAGAAAAAGGATTTACTGATAAATCCAAGACAGAGACTCGAGATTGGTTGTCAGATTTTGCAGAGTCCATGCTGTCACTCAAACAAAAGAGCTGCTAATACATGACAAATATTGCAATCAAATATTTTATACTGTATTTAGTTTAAAACAAGTGTATATATTCCTGCACCTTCACAATGAGCCTTTCAGCCTGATTAACTGCTCAAGCAAGTCTGCATGATAAAGTACTAAGTGCTGGTCCGACTACCACGGACCTCAGAGCTCTCAGCCTCATATCTTTGGAACTCTGTGCCACACTGCATTCACAGTATTCTTTGTTTCTATCTTTAAACCATTTCTTAAAACACACCTTGTTAAGATTGTACATTCAGTTTTATTTTGTATTTTTCACTGTTAATTCTGTAAAGGTTTTCTAATTGTCACTGTATGCAGCATTATTATTATTATTATCATTATTATTATGTAGGATAGTGAGCTGGACCCTTATATGGGTTTCAATAAGCAACAGGAGGTAGAGCAGGTCACCTACAAATTGGAAGGTTGGTAGTTCGATCCCAGTCAGCTCCAGTCTGCATTTCACATATCATGGAGCAAGATGCTAATCCCAAGTTGCTCTCCAATGCATCCATCAGAGTATGAATGTGTGAATGTTAGATAGAAAGAACTTACATAGGAAAAGCATAGAAAAAAGTGCTTGTATGACTGGGTGAGGCAAGTTGTATAAAAGCGCTTTGAGCGCTCAGTTAAGAGTAGAAAAGCACTATATAAGAACCAGTGCATGTAGCAAGCCCACTATTAATTACTGTGTGGGATAAGTATGCCCAGCCAACACCACATTTCACATTTCACCTAATCACTGTTTGCCTATACATGCACTTTTTAATGGCACTAAGAAAACACCACACTGGGGATTACTGTAGAGAAGATAAAACCATAGCACATGTTTTGCTGTACTATCAGAAATATGAGAAGCCATGCGATTTAAAACCCTATTTTTTTTTCACTCCATGGTGCAATAGTTTACACATTTACCTAACAATTAAAACATCTCTAGTTTGAACACAAATCCCTTGAGGGTTGTGTCAGATGCGGCATCTGAAAACGCTACCCTTCTCTCACCCCAACCAGTTGCGGCTGATGGCCGCCCCTCCCTGAGCCTGGTTCTGCCGGAGGTTTCTTCCTGTTAAAAGGGAGTTTTTCCTTCCCACTGTTGCCAAAGTGCTTGCTCACAGGGGGTCATGTGATTGTTGGGTTTTTCTCTGTATTATTGTAGGATCTACCTTATAATATAAAGCACCTTGAGGCGACTGTTGTTGGGATTTGGCGCTGTATAAATAAAACTGAATCGAACTGAACCTTTTGGTACTCCTTGTGAGCAGCTAAATGTAGCTTTTTACATTTTTGTTGGAATTTTTTTAGCAACATTCTGGTCCACACTACATAACAGCTGGTGACGATAAAGTACCGTGACACACGGTACATCACTGCTGTGATTTCTGGGTAATCATTAGTGAAAAGCAGTTCATCAGCACTGAGATGTCACTGCAAAGTGTTTCTGTTTGCTCAGTCTGTCTAGGAAAACTTCATAGCATAAAACTACACTCAGATAACAGTTCAATGCAAAGCATTATCAACAAGAAATAGATGGGATTAGAAGGAATCCAGGACGGAAAACTGAGTAAGAATCAAAGACGAGAAGGAATGTGAGAACTAAGGAGAAGTAAAAGGGATGCACAGAGTGAATTAAAGAGAGATGACTGATGAAAAGTAAATGGCTGGAAGCTGACAGAAGAAGGAATAAACAGCACAAGACAGAAACATAAAGGAGTAGGGGAAAGAGAGCATAGAGCAGGAGGTGACAATGGATGCCAGGAGACAGACAGGATGGTTTTATAATATGTGGGGCGATTGTGGCTCAAGAGTTGGATGTTCGTCTTGTAATCGGAAGGTTGCCGGTTCTAGCCCCTGCTCGGACAGTCTCTGTCGTTGTGTCCTTGGGCAGGACACTTCATCTACCGCCTACTGGTGATGGCCAGAGGGGCCGATGGCGCAATATGGCAGCCTCGCCTCTGTCAGTCTGCCCCAGGGCAGCTGTGGCTACAACTGTAGCTGCCTTCACCAGTGTGTGAATGTGAGAGTGAATGAATAGTGGAATTGTAAAGCGCTTTGAGGGGTCTCGAAAAGCACTATATAAATGCAATCCATTATTATTATTATTATTATTATTATAATAGAGGCCAGCCTCACACTTGAAGGGCGATACCCAAAGCAGCAGCCACTGTCAGCATTCCCTAACCTTTAACTTCCTGCTAGCATTTGGGACTGTACAAGTGGTAAAGAAAATTCAGTGTGAGAGCATGGCAGGGTGGAGAAAATCCATAAAAAGAAAGCAGAAACAGTGAACACTTACTAAGTTACTGAAACCTACCTTTGAAAAAATGCTGTAGGGCAAACCACACCTTCAGTGGTGTTTTAGGACTTAGGGGATGCTTTTGACATCGGTCCCCACTCACTCCAAGAGTATGTCGACACTATACCAGCTAAATTTGAATTATTCTGTCTATTTGAGACCTTGTCAGAATCACTCTGATTTTCTTATATCCAGAAGCATAGCTTTCCAAAAACAGTCTCTAGAGGGTTTTAACACTAAAATGTCAGCAATGTCAAACTAAATAACACTAGATCATTTCAAAAGCTGAAGAATGGAGAATGCCTCTCCCACTCAGCTCGGCTAAATGCCAGGAAACACAGGAACGGCTGGCACACTCTCGACTCACCCCCCGAAAAATTCTCTGGAGCTGAAGGGAGGATCCAGAGGTACTCTCGGTATCTGGGAAATCGCAGCTTACGGATTTGAAACACATGCACTTCAGTGAGCAGCACCTTCCTTGCACAAATGTGTTGCCTAGGTCCAGACAAGCCAGACTGTAACGCCAATGCATGACAAAAGTCTTTGTAGAAGCAAGATTTGGCTTTTAGGAGCCAACTTGGTAATGGCTCGAGGGAAAAATGCTGTTTTTTTTTAGTTTAAAGTCTCTATCTGAATGAATAGAGAGCCAGAACCTTCAATCAGATCTGATAGAAAGAGCTTCAAAAATGTAATGACTTTACCCTATAATGAGGTTTAATAAGCTTTTCTCCACTGTAAGTTCTAGTTTAACCACTAAAATGCAACGTTCACAAAGGTTTGGCTCCATTAATGGCTCATCTCATAATGATACAGACTTCTATTCAGGCTTCTTTTACTGCCATGTCACTCTATTATAATGAGAAAGTCCCAGTGGGTCAATGCTTGACACGACTGTTTTAGAGCAAGAAGGTCCTGAGCTCAAACACAGACATGGACCTTTTCACGTTGACCAAAAAAAAGGCAAGGTTAATACTCCATTTTTTTTTCACAAGCAATAGAATACCAGGCAGCTAAGAAGAGGGAGCTTACAACACTCCAGGATTTACTCAGGGTTAAGAAGCAGACTAAGGAATAGTGCAACACTTTGGCAGACCACTCTGACAAATGATGTGTCTAATCAACGGTAACTGATTGGCGAAGTGGAAAGAGGTGAGTAGAAAAGCACTCAGCTGACAATACTGGCAGGAGGGTAGAACAGGTAGGAGTGGTATGTCTTAAACGACAGTAGAGTAAGATAGTGTCAAACAAACAGAATGAATGAAGGACAACGTGGGACACCATGACAGTTGTGGCTGGCAACAGATTTCCATCACAAGGATAGCTACTGCTAGACTGCATGCAGATCAACAGTCTTTTCAGCAGCATATTTCACAGCCTTGTAAAATTACTGGACCTTTGCTGCATATTTAAAAGTATAATTTGATATATTGATGTTATGCAGCAAACTTTAGATATTAAAGTAATAAAGGGAAACTGAAAAGACAAGATAAGGCGTGATATAAAGGGCATTGTAGAAAGGCTACAGATAAGAAAGTGATAGATAAATAGATAGCACGGATAAAGGGGTGAGACATGGAAGAACTGATGAAAGACAGAAAAAAGGGGTGTTAAGAGACAAGGTGGCTCCCTGGAATTGGCCATAGGGGATGCTTCCTGTCACCTTGAGTTAGTGTTGGCACACAGACACACAGACACAACTTTGATCAACAACCCTTGCTGATAGACTGCTGATAGCCATACACACTAGAAAGCAGCACAGAGGGCTTTCTCACAGGAGACAGGTACAATTTGAAATTGCACCTGTTATCTTATCCCCTACTGCGGCTGACAGCATTGTATTTGTGTTAGTGCGTGCATCTCTGTGTGAGGAGGCTATACAGCTTCTCTGTATGCTTTTGACCTAACTGCATGTGGAAAGGTTGTTTTTGGCTAAGAGTCTACATGCAGAAGTACAGCACAGAGATTTAGAGGAGACTATGTGTGCATGAACAGCATGTTAGCATGAGAGGCCATGTGCTGTAACCTTGCCCGTTCTTCCATTTTACAATAACTCCATGGAGACTGCAATCTGAAATCTCAAGGTTCACACATCACCCCATCTACAGTTCATTTTACTCAATTCTGGAAGTAATACGAGATGCTGACTTTTTGGTTAGTTTGGCAAGTGAGCTCTCACCTCTCTTCTGCCTCATATTAGGGCTGGGGTTGGACCTCCTGAAGCCTGACTCTGGGCTTGATGAATCAGAGTGTTTCAGTGCCATCTTCCGCACATTCCTATTGAGAGTAGACAGATCAGTGAGAAACTGAAATAGCTAAGATTTCCACTTGTCATTTCCATCCCTGTTCTGAGAGCAGATTTTTTCAGATTCAGAGAGAAGGTTTCAGATTTTCTGCAACATGCTGATTAATTTCTAATTTGGGTGATTCTCTGTTTCCTCACCTCATAGGGGCCCCATAGATGTTGAGCTGGCTGGCTTCTGTGAATGTAAGAGAAACAGAAAATTACTGATGGTCAAACTGGAGCACTGCGAGGTTTAAAACAAGGATTTGCTGCTGGAATCGCTACCTTTGAGCAAGGCATCTGGCCCCAAACATTGCTCAAAGCTACTTTGCTCATCGGTACGTGAGGGATTTTGACTTGGTTTAGTAAATGAGTAAAATATGATTGGTAAATGGAATAGGAGGAATTGGCTTGGATAGCATTTCCATAAAATATTCTGCTACTCTACTCTAAGGTCGCCATTTTCTGTGCCTGTGTTTGTTTTCCCTTTTGAGAAAAAAGCTGCTGAATTCATTAAAACTCTGCTTATTAACGAAATTGCTCAGTTTTGCCATCTTAACTGTTAGAAGCAGTCGATGTTTCCTTCTTCCTGCTGTCCAGAGCAGAGGCAGCATTTCATTATTTTTCTCTTAGCAAATATTTTCTTCGGTACCACACTGTGGATTTTGTATGTCATGCAGGCCTTGAGGTGGCTTCTGTGTCTTGTTTGTAATCCTCCACTGGTGTCTGGTCCTATTGAATCTGTGTCCTGCACTGTACTGAATACATGGCGGCAGAAAAACTACAACAGTACAAGTCCTCTTTACACAAGGCAAGAGATGATATCAGAAAGACCAAACAGAAAAGAACAAGACAGAAGAAGATACAAAACACCATCTAGTTTTCTGAAAAACTATAAAAAATCAAGGTTTCAAGCTTTACTTCCAGTGCCTATCCTTTAGGGCCATGCTGCTGGCATCTTTTACAACTGGAAGCTTTTATTCTATAATTCATGAGTTATTTCAATGCTTAAATTCTCCCAGAATGCTGTGTCAACTCTATAAGCTGCTTTTACTGGACTGATATCCTGAAATCCTGCTCGGGCTCTATAAAGAAAGAAAAATCCAAACACTTAAGTTCCTGGAATGCAGCTTCAGACATCACCTACATCTAATCAACAGACTTCATAAATGCAACGTTAACAATTCTGGCCTGCCACAAGAATCCTGCTCTGAGGCAGGAAGTCTCTAGAGAAGCATCTAGTAACATAACTGTACACAAGAGGTGCTGCCTTGGCCAAATGGATAGCTCACATAAGTGAAATACCAAGCTCTGTGAATGATCTGGCTTGTTACCTCTTATACCAAGCAACCAATGAGCCTGTCGGAGAAGTGCAGACTCAGCATAGCACCGAATATTGTACTCAGCAAAAAGCATCTATTTTTTCATCATGGACAAAGTGATGTTTTATTCATAAAGGCTAGTCATATTGTGCGTAGACAGTCTGAGAAGAGAGCAGCAGCAGCAGCAAGAGTTTAAATGAGGAGTAACACCATGCATATGGCAAAGTTTATAATGTGATGCACACTCCATCCTCCATGTTTATCATTCATCTAGACAAGGGGTCGGCAACCTGCGGCTCTTTAGTCCTTATACTGCGGCTCCACGTGGTTTGGAAAAAAATTATAAGTATTTAACTGAAGTGTATTTCATTTGTGTTAGTTCTTTTTAACTTGTAGTTCTAAATTGGAAGATTATTGTGATCTTGAAATATAAAAATAAAACTATGTTATTATTTTTCATCGCTCAAAATAAGCGTCACACTCACAGAAACCATACCTGCCGAAATGCCGTGCAGACTTTTAACCCCAGGCAGGCCAAGTGGTAAAAACAAACACCGCTCACGCCTCTGCAGGCGCTGTGCGCAGACGGTCGGGAACAGAAGTCCCATTGTCAACATACCACCTGACGATGTTTACATGAACATGCTTTTTTTCTTTATTGGCTGCTTTTCACACATGGTTGCTGTAGCCATACAGCCAGCTGTAGTTTTGCAGCTCGCAGTCCGACACACACCAACACAACAGCAGAGAGAGCACAGAATTTAAGCCGGCGAGGCTTGATTGCAGATGTCCACCTCCCCTGCAGCGGCACTGCAGACCATGCCCTGCCACACACATTAACCACGTAAAATAAATGTTTTTTTAGCAGCATAGTGCTTTTTTCCAATTATTTTTAATATTCAGATCAAGGCTCCGCTACAGGCTGCAAAATCCCAAAGGTGACATAAGGATGACGGCTCACTACAGTTTTTGTTTCCTTTTTGTTATATTTTTAGTTTAGTTCAAAATGTGTTCATTCCATAAATAAAATGTTATTTTCTCTGTAGCACTTAATGTATTTCATAAGCAAAACACTTTAGTTGTTTATACAAAGCAAAACAGTGTTATCTTTATTTTAGATGTCAAAAAGTATTTGCGGCTCCCAGTGTTTTCTTTTCCATGGAAACTGGGTCCAAATGGCTCTTTGGGTGTTAAAGGTTGCTGACCCCTGATCTAGACGAATATAGGGTAAGATACATACTGAGATAATTCCAGCGGTACAAAAACTTATCGCTCGGCTGCCATTTTCTAAAATAAAGAAATTTTTTTAATCACTAATCACAGTTGCTTCCAATGAGCCGTTTTGCTAGGACCACTTTAGTTAAAAGACGACTGTTTTCTTCAGAAGCTCAGGAAGTATTAAATATGCACTATACGCAAACGTCAGAAATGGTGTAAAAGGGAGGAGATGGGTACGTTTGACTTGCAAAGTAGGTTGCAGAGACAACAGCAACTGTGTAATAGCTGGTATATGAGATGTGTAATGGGAAGTTTAAAGGCTATGCTTGAACTAACTAATGGGCACATTGGTTGGTGAGATCAGTCAGTCAAGAATTAGCCATCTTTCTACATCTAAAGCACTTTTGGTTCCTTTGTTCGGTTTTTAGGATCATCATCCTGCTAAATACTGTTCCATTAGATGCCACACCATAAGAGACCTAAAAACCTGTGAGATAACACAGTGGTATGACTTGGTCTGTTTGTATAGGCTAACCCCTATATGTTGTGCTTATCGGGATGATTTTTTTCTAAATCAGTCCAAAAAATATCCTCACTTCATTTTTACATTTTTTTTCTCGACTACAGTCTGACTTTATGATTTTATTGAGCTTAACCCAGGGTTGGCATGGTGTGCTGACATCTCTGAAATAGCGATCATGAAGCCTTTTCATAGTCATTGACCAGAAGACATGCACTTGCCTCCCTTCTTGCTGTGCAGACAGAAAGACATTTTTCTTCACCAAGTAAATGATTTTCCATCACGACTCATCATGTGAAAGACTTGTGTGCCTTGGTCTCCACAGATTATGTTTGCTTGCATGGAACAGCAGTTCAGTTCTACTTCCCTCCTTAAGCAAAATTATTTCTACTCTAAACTCTGCTTAGACTTCACTGAGTAAAGTTGACCAAGTAAGCACGACAATATAATTTATTGTAGAATGTACGCACCAAAATATACAATAAAACCTTTCTGTAGTGCATAAAATCAAAATTCAAATTTTATTTGTCACGTACACAGTCATACACAGTACGATATGTAGTGAAATGCTTGGACAACTGCTCGTGACCTAAAGAAAACAAAAAAGGAAAAGGCTATGAATAAGATAGGAAATAAATATGAAAAATTAAAAAGGGTAAATTTAACTAGGAAGGAATAAAATATAAATTAAGGTTAAAAATGAAATAACTGTACAACACAAATTAGAATGAAGGGTAAATTTAACTGGGAAGAATAAGATAAAATATATAAATTAAAGTTGAAAATAAAATAACTGTACAACAAAATACACAATATAGAACTATATAGGAATGTATGAAGAAATCTAAATCTAAATAAATATATACACAATAACAGCAGCTGTACAAGTATTAACTGGAAATGAAGAATATAGTGACCAGTGTTGTGCAAAAACAAAGTCCAGAATGTCCAGTGTGTGTGTAAGAACCATATGTGTGGGTCAGTACTGTGTGGTGGTGTGATTGAGAGACCGTATCGCCTGCGGGAAGAAGCTCCTCCTCAGTCTCTCTGTGTTGGTCTTCAGGGAGCGGAATCGCTTTCCTGACCTCAACAGAGAGAACAGTCTGTTGTTGGGATGGCTGAGGTCCTTCACGATCTTCCTGGCCTTGGTCCAGCACCGCCTGCTGTAGATTGAGTGCAGGTCAGGGAGCTCGGAGCGGATGGTGCGCTCAGCTGATCGCACAACCCTCTGTAGAGCTCGTCTGTCCTGCATGGTGCTGTTCCCGAACCAGGTTAAGATGTTTCCCGCCAGGATGCTCTTTATGGTGCACGAATAAAAGTTCCTGAGCACCTTGGAGGGCAGTTGGAAGTCTCTCAAGCGTCTGAGGCTGTAGAGACGCTGACGGGCCTTTTTCACCACGGTGTTGATGTGACAGGACCATGACAGGTCCTGCGTGATGTGAACTCCGAGGTATTTGAAGCTGTCCACTCTCTCCACTGGGCACTCGTTGATGACGGGGGTCTGGTAGTTCCTCTCCTGCTTAGTGCTGAAGTCCACTATCAGCTCCTTTGTCTTACTGACGTTTAGAAGGAGGTTGTTCCTCTGGCACCAGTTCTCCAGATTCCTAATCTCCTTCAGGTAGGCCGTCTCGTTGTTATCAGAGATCAGGCCCACCATGACGGTGTCGTCAGCAAACTTGATGATGGTGGTGGAGCTGGTAGTGGCCACACAGTCATATGTGTACAAAGAGTACAGCAGGGGGCTCAGAACACACCCCTGGGGGGATCCAGTGCTGAGAGTGGTGGCGGCTGAGACATGTCCGCCCATCCTTACTGCCTGTGGTCTGCCAGTTAGGAAGTTGGAGATCCACTGACACATAGATGAGCTGAGTCCCAGATGCTCCAGCTTGGTGGTGAGTGTGGAGGGAATTATGGTGTTAAATGCAGAGCTGTAGTCTATGAAGAGCATTTTAACATAATTCCCCCTTCTAGTGTCCAAGTGAGTGAGTGATGTGTGGAGGAGATGAGAGATGGCATCGTCTGTGGAACGATTTGGACGGTAAGCGAACTGTAGTGGGTCCAGTGTGTCTGGTAGTGAAGAAATGATGAAGTCTCTGACCAGGCGTTCAAAGCACTTCATCACTATTGAGGTGAGGGCTACAGGGCGATAGTCAAAT